AAAGCATAATGTTACCATTCCCTGGTTCACTTCAGCAGGAGTCCTAAATAAATCATCAACAAAATACATATGAATTGTGTGACATACAACATTACCAAAGCTTTTAACTCCTACAGCATTTCAGGTGAAGGATCTGTTTAACAAGATTTTTCGTTACTGAGCCAGTGATAGATGTGCACAGCCAGTCATACAGACTTGAATCTGTGTCACCCCATCCTTCTCCTAACTTCCAAAAGAGTAAGCTTCAGAGTATTTTACAAACGGAGAAGTTGGTAACAGCGACTCTGGTGTGTGTTATTGCCATTAGATCCAAATTTAATCTGAGAGGAAGTTGGATCACCTCACACAGCAGGGTTGGAAAACAGCCTATAAATGTCAGTTCTATTAAAGACAGAATATAGATTTTAAACTGAGGCAGCCTCCAGACACTTAGCTATCATGGCGATGAGTTGTGGTTTAAATACGGATAGTCAAAACAACGTGGGGCGGTAAGTCTGCTGCATGTATTCAGAGTGAAAGCGAGCCCTGAAGACTGCATATGGCTCAGAATAAGTTCATCTTCTGAAGAAGTCTGTAGTCTGTTCTGGAAGTGCTAGTTATTTATTCTCCTACAGAACAACCTTGTTTAAGAGGCCAGGGAAGGCTGGGCATTACTGACTGCCTTGTCATCACAACCCTTGTATCAAACAAACAGAACTGCACAGAAACAGTGCTTTAAGGGAGGTGGATTTTCAACAAGAGGTTGTGTCAGAACTTTCCCTTCTCCCTTACATATAATCTAACTACAGGCCAAGAAATACTCCTTTCCTTGGGTCCCTGCTACCAAATGTTTATTCTGAACACACAAGAGATTGTCTGGCAATTCAGTGAAGTGAATACATAGCTGTAGTGCTGTATGTAGATTTTTCCACTAATGGAGTTCAGTTTTTTTTTCAGGGGGGACTGGTATTGGGTATTTTGCTTTCCCTTACAGACACTATCACCACCCATGATTAGTGTCACTTCTGCAGTGAAAGAAAGCTAAGCATCAGATAGCTACCTCGTCCTGCACATGAGTCATCTCACAACAAAGAGAAAACTGCTTAACAGAAACTACTGTATTGTAGAATGAGATTTAGTAGCCAGAGGGAATCTTGTTCTCCAGGGATGGTCTAACCTGTTTTGCATAAACTCCATGCCATGCATGAATTCCAGTGTTTCAGCTCCAAACAAAAACAGGTAGCAGTCGGCCAATCATACAGGTTTCTTCTTCTGCACTGGCTAATTCATCCACTCACAGGACACATGTCCAATTTGTTCCCTACTTGCAGTTATCAGAAATTTCAGAAAGGTGCTATCTACCACCACACTTAAACACTTCACTTCACAATACCCAAACTAAACTTGAGGGTTAACACTGCAATGTAAGTGTTGGCTGAATGCCTCAGGGCAAGGACTCTCAAAGTTTTCTCCATTGTGTGAAGGACATCTCAGAGCAATTTTGTGTATTGTCTCCCCTCCTATTCATGATTTCCTAACATCTGACAGCTACAGCAATTCCTTACATGAAAGTAATATTAGCAGAAAAGTTGTGTATTTTAAGCTGTCAATTTGTTTAGCAGATGGAAAAGAGGAGATCCAGCCCCATGTGACTAGGGGTACGTCCAGACTACCCACCCACCGTATTGGCGGGTAGCGATCGATTTATCGGGGATCGATCTATCGCGTCTCGTTAAGACGCGATAGATCAATCCCCGAACGCACTCCCCATAGACTCCGGAACTCCACCGGAGCGAGCGGTGGTAGCAGAGTCGACGGGGGAGCCGCGGCCGTCGATCCCGCGCCGTGAGGACCCAAAGTAAATCGATCTAAGATACTTCGACTTCAGCTATGCTATTCACGTAGCTGAAGTTGCGTATCTTAGATCGATCCCCCCCAGCGTAGACCAGCACTAAGCAGCACTCCCAAGTCCACCAGCAAGTGCTCACTAGACCACCATTTGGGAATATCTGCCTTTGAGATGGACAGTGCTCTGTGTATAGAGGACAACACTGTCAAGAGTGAGCAGCCAAGCACTTTTCACTATCAAAGTAAATTTTCAAGAAAGTTAATCTGTACAGCTTTTGCCCTTCTGGACAGAGTTTACCCAAGACCACATGTGATTTTCTCTTTGCCATGTAAGACAGAGTTTTGTTTCTTTTCCCCCTATCTGGATAGAACACAGGCTGTTAATACGATGTAAGTATAATCTATTATTAATGGCCACACGGGTAAAGACTTGTAATTCCACAGATGAACCATCTTTCCACTGTCCAAAGCATTCTTCATCCAGATGCAGCAGAATGACAGAACAAGCTCAGATTATTCAGATAACTTTTTCCTTCCAAACAAAATGAAAATGTGTGGTTTTCCCACTGTAGGACAGCTTTCCTTTTGCAATAATAATTAAAAAGACACTTATAATGTTTATATGATGTGACATGTCATCAAGGTTTTTTAGTCACTCCTGCTGGTTATCCCACTGGGTTATTTTGTTAATCTTTATTGGTTGGCTAAAGTTTGTTTATTACATGAATTTCCACAGAGGTGAAGGCACTGGACTAGGACTCAGAAATCCAGGT